AGGTAACTTACAATATATTGTAGCCTATGCTTATTTGATTTGCTTATTTTAATAATTTAAGCCATCTGGAGACACCCTGATCCCAGCCCCTGGTTGGTGGAGATCTAAAAACTGAGCGGGCAAAATATAGTCTACAAATATACCTTATATTTGTGTGTTTTTACGAGGTGACCTGGAGATATAAGTACAAATAGCATAGCTTGTACTGGTCTGTTTCACACTCTGATCAGTTACTTTTAAAAGTAATGCATTAACAGTATTGTTTTACTCCCTAAAAAGTAATTTATTCAGTTACTTTGTTACTTTTTATGGAAAGTAATGTGCTGTTACTTTTGAGTTGTTTTTTTCTCACCTGGGCTGGGCTTGGTGGTTGGTTGGTTTTTTAATAACAAAAAAGTTTGTCAAACACCAAAAAATCTAACAAATAAGGCTCAGACTGAAGGAAATGCAAAATCATGCCTGCACAGAGGGCACAGCTCAAACAAACCTTTCAGCTGTGCTGATATTCTGGATTGCAGAAGAATATGACGCAGAATAGGAGAAGAAAGTTCACCAATCTTACTTCAGCAATAAAAACAAAACAAAAATGACATACATATGTGCTGGATTATGTTTTGTTTATGTTTTGTTTCATTGTGTTTGTTCCTGTCAAGTTGGCCTAGCTCCCAAGTACGTGTCAGTCTGATTCAGCTCACCTGTTGTTTAAATTATACCGGACTGAGCAGTTCCCTTGTTTAGTCTGGTATACTCCCTGTTCTGTTCAGTTCTTTGCCCTGTCTCGTTGTTGTTAAGTGGTTTTGTTTGCCCTATTTCCCTGTGGATTTAATAAAGACAGTTTCTGTTAAGATATTGGAGTTGGTGTGCCTAACTCACTATCCATTTGAGGATTTCGCCACATATGTGGAGTGAGTAGCCTACTTGTAAATTACTCTGCATTCATCATCGCAGTCCTCAGCATGAGGATCCCCCGTCTCCTCCTCCAGCCACAGAGCCCCGGACTCCACCTTGGTCCTCCGACCCTACGGCTTCGCCTTGGCTCAATGATCCCGCAGCTCCACCGTGGCCCGTCATCCTACCAATTCCTCGGTCGCACTGGCTCCTCTGTGGCCTTCCAGATCCCTGCCTCGATCCCATGAGCCATCAGCTCCACCTTGGCCCTGCTCCAGACCTGCAGTGTCATCCCGGCTCCGTGTCTCTTCAGCTCCGTCTGGGTCTCCACCGCGGTTGGATCCATCGCAGGAAATCAAAGCTCTGGTTTCATCTCCCAAGCCTCAACCATTGGGTTGGGTGCGTACTGACAGGATTATGTTTTGATCATTGTGTTTGTTCCTTTCATTCCAAATTGACCTATGTGGTCTTGAAGTATGTGTCAGTCTCAGGCCTTGTCCACACGGACACGGGTATTTTTATAACCGTGACTTTTTTTACGCGGTTCGGCCGTTCGTCCACACGGAAACGCAGTATCAGGACACTGAAACCGAACATTTTTGAAAACCCCTGCCAGGGTGAGGATTTTCAGAAACGCCGGTTATAGTGTTGTCGTGCAGACAGTAAAACCGGGGCGTTTGCCTTGCGACGTCAGCGTGCGCCTGCGCTGTGCCGTTATCCGCCTACTGGAACCAAGGGGGTAATCCATCAGCCGGAAGTTGAAGCTGCCTCCGGGGGCCGCCATTGTAGCTGGCTATCACCTGCTGTTAGCATCCCATTGACTCCCATTCATTTTGGCGTCACTTTGACAGCGAATAACTTTACATCTGAGGAGTCCAAAGACTCCATTTGTCCATTGTTTATTTCTAAAGAAACACGACAATGTATAAAAGGCTCCATTACTTTGTATCTTCCGTTATGGCCCCGTAGAAGCCATTCTTGTAAAAATAGGCTAACGATTGCGTCATAACCACGGGACGCTCTGTCGCACAGTAGAGAAATTACCGTATAGACAGAAGTAGAAGCTCGTAGGCAATCGTTTACTGTCTATGAGGCAATCGGGTGGACATGGAGGCATAAAGTCAAGGGATAAGCCCATAGATAGAGAGTTCATAAAAGCAACGGGACAAAATATTTCAACAACAGATTTGTTTCAGATTTCAATTCAGATTTGTCCCGGCACAGCTACTAGAAGGTCAGAACGGTTGCTCACGTGACAACTACGTCGTCAAGCTCAGTTTGAGCCTGCGCAGAACGCTTGGCTATCAGGAAGTGAGTGCCCATGTTGGGCTTCAACTCTCTCCGTTGAAATCAACGGGGTCGCTGTGTCCATTTCTTTTACTGTCTATGACCGGAACCTGTAATAACTTTTTGTTAGGCTTCTGATTGGCCAACGTGGCTTTACGGTTAGGGTTATATCGCCGCCTGCTGGTGTGGCATGCTCTTGACAACGCTTGATAGCGTGTTTTTGCGTTTTCATGTGGACGGGATTTTTTTTTAAACGCAGGAAGAACAACTCCGGTTATAAAAATACCCGTGTCCGTGTGGACAAGGCCTCATTCAGTTCACCTCTTGTTGATTGATTAACTCATTAGTTCCCTTGTTTAGTCTGGTATGTATACTCCCTGTTCTGTTCTGTTTTTTGTCCTGTCTCGTCGTTAAGGGGTTGTTTGCCATATTCTCTTGTGGATTTTAATAAAGACAGTTTGTGTTTAGATATGCTCCTTCGTCATGCTTTTGTGCATCCATGATGTTTATCGAAATTCATTTTGTTTATTCATATGGTTAAATTGGATCATTTAAGGACAGCAGCAAAGACATTGCTAAAAAAGTTAGATTAAATACATAAAGTATATTTGTGTTATTTAAAGGGGTCATATAATGGTACATGCACTTTTTCAAGTTGATTGTACTGAAATGTGTGTTGGCAGTGCCTGTACACAACCATCATATAATGATAAAAATCCATCCAGTGTTTTTGTTTTAATCTCCTTATATGTTTTCCCCCATCTCAAATCAAGCCGTTCGACCGTGTGACGTCACACGGTCGGACGCCCCTCCCGCGATTGTTGAATGACAGCAGCGTTTCAACACAGACCCGCCCTCGCTCGTGAGCGAGCTGTCAATCATAGTCTGCGCTGACCGGCGCGGTCATTGTTGATATGCTGGAGCACTGTCTATGAGCAGAATGGCGTCTAAGCGATTGTGGTGTTCTGTTCTTGGGTGTAATAACGAACACAGCAGTCATTTTAATGTTCCTAAATCCGAACCGCTGAAGACGCAGTGGCTGAGTTTGTTTTCGAAGGGAATATTCCCCACGAGCAACGTCAGTGCTCTCATGTTTGCGCGAATCATTTCTCAGCAGACTGCTTTATAAACGAGGGTCAGTATAAAGCTGGTTTTGCTAAGAAGCTGCTCATGAAAAAAGGATCGGTACCAGCTATTCGTGTTCCTGCTGAACCTCTAGAACAACTGAAGTGAGTGTAACGTTTTATTAACCTTTATATTAATATTTATATCTTTGCAAATGGCTAGCTGCACGCTTCACGATGAATACGTCTAAGGTTTACACTCAGGGTACATTACGGCATGTTTTCTATGTATGACGTTCTCAATATAATTCATAATTTATACCACGTTTATACTGAACAATGCGTTATGGTTATTGTGTTAAACGTGTACGCACAGAACAGAGGGGCAGAGTGAGCGAAGCTCATGATCATTTAAAGGCATATGCACTGAAACGGCGTGCTGAAAACAGAGCTGCTTTTGACCAGGTAAAATAACTGTTTTCTTACAATACTAATGAGAATTTTTAATTAAAGTAGGCTATATTACAAACTTTTAATTTAGACCCTAAAGAATCATATTAGCTTGTACAAAAATGGCATTATATGACCCCTTTAACGTTTAGTTATTGCAGGTTTGCATTTCAGTTTTTTGGGTTTTTTTTTGTTCTTTGAGGAACACTGAATCTGTTTTTGTGCAATTGTGAGATGAATAAATGCACACTCACATACATTTAGTCTAGGACTACAATAAGCATCATGTTCACACAGCGCACACAACACCTCTGCACTTAATCCCGATTTCTCTCAACATGGGGACAGATGTCATTAAATAAATAGGAAAACAAAGTTAACTTGTGTTGCTTTTTTACAAAATGGATACTTTGTTGTAAATTTTAAAGTAATATGTTACTTTAGTTACTTTAAAAAGAATCTGATTACGTAAGTACGTACAGTTTCTTATAATGCGTTACCCCAAACATTGACTTTGATATGAAGTGCAGCAGGGAGCAACTGGAAGATTACGTTATCAGATGTTGTGCATAACCAACATCCTTGAACCAGTGAAAAAGAAGGAGTGTAATATATAGTAAATAAGACACACCCTGCGATTTATTTAAATGTTTATTGCTGTGCTTGAAGATTACACTCCTTGGACTTTAGTTGTGTTTGGTGGGTCAGTTCAAACACAAAGACTTAAAACATTTCTATTATTTATTATTTAAATAGTAAAACAACAATTCTGTGATGCAATACATAGGCTTCACTAATAAATTCTGAACAAGCTAGACTATAGGCAAGGTGGTCAATACACAAGAAACTATTCTGTGTGCTTATACATACAATCTGATGTACAAGAAGAGATGAGAAACATTCCATTTACCAAAAAGAAAAACACAGTCATACCAAACAATTTAAAACAATAGGTTACAAATCCTGCACACCTCAAAGAGGAGGCACATATAGTGTGCTTATAGGAGGGCCAAAATTAAATAAAAAGCTTCATTTTAAACACATGAGCTACTGCAGGCCCCAAGGTTCATGTGCTCACCTGTGACAGGACATGTCCACAGAGGAATACAATATGTGTAAATATAAAGTAAAGGTATGATATGATTTGAATTGTTTATATTATTGAACGTAGCATCGTCTCCTTCACTTCACCATGAAGTACCAAATTCCAAAGTAATAAGTCACAAAGAAAATTCCTCCGGCACTTTTGGGCAGATCAATGAGAAACAATTTTTGAAAAATGATTGTAAAAAACATAAAACAAAAAAAACCCACTTTGCCTCCTTTTACTGGTTAAATGTTGGCATAGAACACAGTAAAGTCTTTGAAGATATTATTTACACATCCTCTATATTTCTGTTCTTTTTATAGTACTGTGAAACTCTAAGATCTACTTTGACACTTGTGGATAGTATATCACAGTGGATTCAAACCAGACAGTATCCAAATATAGTGTCAGGACCCCTTTATATGCCACAACACAATAAATCAGACCAAAAACTGATGCTTCAGAAAACATTACACATTGCAAAATGTAATGATCACTTCTTACAGATGACGCTGATTCACAGAAACGTTTCTCTGCCATAACTGCACATTTGGCTCAATTACATTGTATAAGAAACATTTTTGTATGACTATAAATTATTCCACATTAATATAACTTAATCAAATGGACTGATGTGCTTTTATTATAAGCTTGTCTGGGTATATGCTTTGTCATGCTTTTAAAAAATTGGTCCTCTGGTCATCCACAGTTCACTGGTAGTGCTGTGTATCCCACAACGTTTTCAGCCTCGTGAATAATGTAGAGCGATTAGGCCTCGTACACCCTACAAAGGGACGAGAAACAAACATTTGTGGGGGGTTATATTGGCCTTTTTAAAGATGCATACATTATTTTTTGTCTGTTGTGCTGCCAAATATGGCAGTAGTATCGGTATTATAGTGACACCTACTGGTGTGGAGTCTTCATCTCATGTGAGTGTACATGGTTTTAAAGTCAGCATGAAACAGAAACAGTCTTTTCTTCCTTATTAGGGGCTTTCACACCGGGTAGTTATAGGAGCTCAGTTATAGGAACAGGCCACCAGGGCGGTCCCCCAATAACAAATTTTCCCACAAGGGCCATTTTCCTGGTTGAATTCACATTGCCGGTAGGAACTCTGAAGTGACGTAAGCCGGCCGACAGCGATGTCAACAACTGGAGGATTGAGGACACATTTATCGGATCTGTTTTTTTTTTTTTGTGGGTCATGACTCATGGGTTTATGCGAAAGTTATGAAATTGAAAGAACAAAAAGTAAGGCTAAGAGACGAAATGATGACAACTTGCAGTGCTACGTACATATCATAGAGGCTGAGAAAAGAACACAAAGGCGACAGGAAAATGCCGTTAACATTAGCTTTCTGTATGTTTGTTTGTGTCTTATTGCTGTTTTTCATATTCATGGAGTTAGTTCGTGGAGTAAGTATATGTTAACTGTGAGATTACACGGCATTTTAAAATGGCAGGTGCTGGTGTTTCGTATGGCATGCGTTCAGCCAATCAAAGTACACTTACGTCACTGGTAGTTCCTATTGTGCTGGGTTAGACCCTACTCTGAAGTAAAAGCTAATTTAGTCCCTCCAGATGGCATTCCTATGACTAAAATCGTTCCCAGTTCCTGCGGTGTGAACACACCAAATAGCGGCTACTTCCGCCAATGTTCCGCTGGTGTGAAAGCCCCCATTATGATGTATATCTGAGTGAAAATTTATCCTAAACACTATAAACACTGTATTATTTATAATAAACACTGCAGCATAAAAAAAACAATAATTGTCAGTTATGATTTCATGTTGATTGTAAACATATTTTTCAAGAGTATTTAATTTCCTACTTGATAAAAAGTTTGTCTATAATCCTTAATCAAACTATAATAACTTCTTCTGAAAGAGCTTTCCTTTTCAACTGACGGTGCACATTGCTCTTATTGTTTCAGCCCACAACCATCCTTCTCACTGTTTAATATTTAACTTTGGAACTTTGGAGTAATTTGGATTTTAAACTGTTTTTGACTTCGCTGTGCTGGAGGCCATCGTGTATATCAATGTGGAAGCGATGTTTCAGATCTCACGACATCGTCCTGCTGCTGAACGCTACCTGTGTTTGTCCTTCCAGATTTTGAACCACTTGACAAGGTTCTTAGTGCTCTGGAGTCTGGGGTGCAGACAATACTCCTGACCTTTGAAACGGGACACATTCTCCATGGTGACACTATAAACACATGGGGAAAATTATGGATGAGTGGATGGGAGTGGGAAAACATTAGTCAAACCACAACACATTATGCATAGATTTTCATCCATCATCATTTTTGTTAATACATGTATGTAACACTGTACGAATTAGAGATTTGAGAAAAATCATCACTCAAATTATTAGTAGATGGCAGAAAATAGACATCCAAACAAAACGTTCTGAGGTGAATCATCATGACCACAGAATGCGCTGCTGAACACGTGACCAGTAAACAAATAAAAAAAACAAAGCAGAATTCAATTCAATTTTTCCTATTAAGATGTTTACCACATTGCTGGAGTCGCTGAATCACACTGACCAAGAGTCCCTAGTCTTTTTCCTCGATTTTCTTTTTACTTTATTATTCACCTGTGCAGCCAAAAGAACATGTTTGTTGTCTCTAAACTCACAGGAGCTCTTGTGAGACTGGAGAAGCTTCTAGAATGTTAAACTCACACTCAGAATCCAGTGCCATTTACTGGAGAGAAGGGACATTCTCAGCACAATCCACTGGGTTTGTTTTTCTCTGAGGTCAGAGCTCACGAATGCAAATCCAGACAAATGAGCTAAATGGCCACGGATTGTTAGCAAAAACATTGAGGTTAAAATAAATTTGAGTGAGCCAATCTAATAAATGCAGAATTGTTTCTTTTTTGTAAAAGGATAACAAAAAAAGTTTAATATGTAAAGTATATTTCTGCACTAACTATTAATTACATACAGTATAATTACCAACTTAAATACTATATAGATATTACATAATCTTCAAATGATTACAACAGTACAGCACTTGAATCAAGAGTGTGTGCACTTCAAGGAATAAAGCAAAGAATAATTTTCACATTCGACCACTTTGATTTGAAATGAACAGTTTAGAGCAACATTTCTGGATCTGAACTGCTCTCTCTCTCTCTCTCTCTCTCTATCTCTCTCTCTCTCTCTCTCTCTCTCTCTCTCTCTCTCTCATCCATGTTACAAGATTTTATTGGAAGACATGCTTTTGAATAAATATCTAATTTTACAAATAAGAACGTTGTAATATTCCCACAACCTTACTACACTGTAAAATATATATATATATATTTTCATGATTTATCACAAACTTATCTTTTGTCAAATCAACTTAGATAATTAATGTGGTTCAGATAACATAATTATTTTAGCTTCTATTTATTAAACCAATCTCCTTTGTTGTATTAACTTAAATTTTTAATTTCAATGAACTCAATTTGAAGGTAACCAGGTAATTTACTTTTAAGTTAAACCAATAATCATTTTTACAGTGTAGAAATTTCCAGCTCTGTAAATGCACTGCAAAACCTAATATGACCAGCAGATGGAACAGTAATGTATAGTAATGTTGACAATAAAAAAGACAAGCTTATCACAAACACAAGTTTGCTTTACATCAGAGAAATCACGCTTGGATCTTATAGGCTTCATGAACAGAATACATTGTCATAACATAACCACGCGGAGTAATTTTGAGTCCATTTTGACTAAGCTCTCTACTACTCTCTTCTAAGCTCTCTACGCTGCAAGTGCGCCACTAAATAGTCATACGCATCCTCCTGGAAAATCCAACTAAAACAGCTTCTGTTGGCAGCTAATTGTGTTGGATATATGGCTTTTCTGAGATGGTGATTTATGCTCATCATTAGCTAGTCTAAATTGTTTTGGTGGCCGATCAGCTGCATTACCAGAGAGCTACAGCCTGGTTTGAGCTGGTTGAACTGGTCGGGACTGGATTGAGCTGGATGACCATGCTTGACCTTTCTAGCAGGTTCTGAAGCAGATGGCACTTTATTTTTTTATTTTTATTTTTTACAGCGATGACAATTGCTTAACGTCTACACACATGCTTGAAAATGGCTCTCCTCTACATTATTAATTTCTTTGCAAAATCTTATTAATAGACCAGTCCATTAAAGCCCATTAGAAATATTATCCAGTTATCCCACTTCCCGCAGTTTCTTATCCAGTTATCCCGCCTATTTCAATTGGAAGTCATAAATATAGTAATACAATACACAAAACACACGTTACAGACCCAAAACAAGGAAATTAAAGATAGATATTTTTTTCCAACTCACAATATCATCTTTTCTTGGCAGTACGGATGTTTAGGCTTGATCTCCAGCTTTTGTACATCTTTGTACCGGATCTTCGGGCCTTTTCTTGTGCATCTGCATTTGTATGCTAAGAAATTAATAAAAAGGCAAGGTTGAGTCTCGAGAAAAAAAAACGAGTCTCAAAAAACAACAACAACAACTGTCAAGAGATTTCTGATTCATTTTGCACCCCAAAAATTATATTTGAAAAGAAAAGAGAATAGAAAGAACAGTATAATTACATAAAGAAAGTAGAGTGTGTGCCCACAGAAAAAATAAGCCAAATTGAATGCGTCATACTTATACATGTGCTTCTTTTAAAAAAAAATTATTACAAAAGAAATACTGAAAAAATATATTTGCATTAAAAAAAAAATTTATTATTACTAATATTTATGTGATGTATTTAAAATGTAAAGTAAGTAGGCTACTACAACTGTAAATATGCATGGTACTTTTGTTTCCTGATTTTTAGGCATATGACTTTCATATTAATGAGAATGTATTTTTTTATTTGCATTAAAGTAATGAGAAATTGTGAGGATTCTGCTTAATTCTGAAAGGCATTGTTCTTGTTTAGATTGTGTTGTGAAACGTGTGGACATTTCTTCCTGAGATGCTTTCTGACAGGTTCCAGTATTCTCTAACTTTTAAAACACTTGCAAAACTGAACTGACAAACGAGGTTGGGCAAAATCAACAAACAGCACATCACTGGCGTGGTGATTCATTAAAGTGCCATTTGCTGTTCACTCTCTTTCAACACTCTGTCTGAGAGGCAGGTGAGCTGCTGAAAGACGTGTGACCCACATCTAATCCCTCATCAATCTTCTCTGCTCCATTCAGCATCATCTCAGGACAGAAGCCAACAAGACTCATCCAGCAGCAACACAAAGAGCCACTATTTACTATCACTGGCCAAGTTTTGCAGAATTAACTAGACTGTCTCAGAGAAGAAGAGATGTTTGATAGTTGCACTAAGGCGGTGTTATTCTGCGGGAAAAGTTGTAAACATTTGATAAAAAAAGAGTGTGTTATAGGCTACTCTTAATGTTTGTAGGCTACTCTTAACTTCGGATAAAAGCTAAAACATTGAATTCTGTATTGAGAGGCTAGCCTACACATATTCGCAAACTCAATGAATAAACATAACTTAGAAAAAAAAAAAAAACACATCACACACACTCACCCTCTGTATTGAGTGAATAAACGGCGATCACCAGCAAAAGTAAAGCGGCCGTAGAGCGATTCATCCCAAATAGTTGGTTGAGAACCTCCAGCAGCAGCCTCCGGTCTGTTTGTACCACTCAAATCCAATGATCGAGATCCTCAAACAGTGTGAGTTTGATGATAAACCCGGTCTCTGTCTCTTTGATGTCAGTAGCAGGTTGAAAGTGCTCCGCGAGACGTCAGGCACAGCGTTGCACGCGCTCTTCTCAAACTGATGAGACGCTCTCGAGCGCGCTGAGCTTCTATAAACACACGCTCGAGCGCCTCATTGATATGCAGAGCCCGCCGACGAATTAACTGTGGCTGTGTCTCCAATCCAAGCGAGTTGCCTTCCTAGACAGCATTTTTGGGCCGTGTGGACGCAGTCGAGGCTGTCTAGGTAGGCAGCTCTCTAGGTTTTTAGACACGGTCCACATATCCCCAGTGAAAAATAGATACAATTGAGTTATAAAGTTTATTAGAGTCTGTATGTTGTCAGGGGAGATAATTGCATTGGCTTTCATGCCTTCACTCACTTAATTTGCCCTCATTGATTCTTGCTCATGAATTAAGGCTCAGTTTAGCACTCTTTCTCTCTGTAAGAGTCTTTAGTAGAAGAGTTCTGTCTTTAGAGAATCTTTATACTGAATAATACTGTTTTTTAATGTTTTTTTTTAAGTCTTACAGAATTCTTAAATGTTAAAATAGCTTCCATCAGATATTATTGACGATGATAATAGTTTTATCTAATATAGGCCTACATAATTCTTTGATTGATTCACCAAGCTGTACAAAGAAGGTTGCAATCAGTGCTTTTTTTCTGCTTGATACTGGGGTTTGTGTAAAACCTCTTACACACTGTTAAAAAAAAATTATATGATCAATAAGTTATGACAACAACTTTTTACATTGCTTTAACTCATTCTCATCTTTTTTATATATAAGATTCAGTTTAATGTAATTTAAGTTGAAATGACTTAAACATCCAACTTGATTGTACTTAAAAATTTCAGGTAGTACACAATTGCATAATGGTGACAATTGCTTGGAGTTGTCCACACTTATGTCATCACTGGCATTTTCTTTTAAAACTGAATTACAATGGAAGAAACAAAACAACAATTGCTATGACATCTATTTATTGACAGCATCTAGTTCATGTCAAAGGGAGTTTATATATATGTATATAATTTCATATAATATATATATATAATTTCATACATGATTATGATTTCATACACATTAACAAAACGTAGGACTTCTGAAAGGTTTAAAAGACATAGTCAGCAAACATTTTTTTGAAGATGCAAATTGTTTATTTGCACATTGCACAATATGCAAAGGGTGTTTCTATGTATGTCAGACAGGTTCATTCAATAAGCAACCCTGTGTAAGCTATGATTAGCTAGTTGCTGACCTATTTTATTTACTTCCATTATAGTTTACATTAAATTATTTTCGAATAATATTTGTATGTCACTGAGTAAAACTATAGATATTGTTGTCAGCACTGGCCCCATACAGTGTTTGGCTTTGTAAATGATACCCCTGAGAAGACTGTTTCTGGTTCCCCCCTCATGCATGGATGATTGGAGGGTATAAAGCAAACCATCTGAATACCTGTGTCTGCGGAGAAGAGCCTCATCCCAGCTGTCATCAGCCGTACCTCACTCCATTTCATGTCCCTCTGTGGTCGATCCAAAGGTCCAGGAGAACTGAAAAGCATGAAAATAATGTGAAGCTGCCCTTCATTCTGTCTGACTGGATGTAATAGAGACTTAATGGTAATAGACAATATCGATGCCCCTCTTTAACCCAAATCAACTAAAATTGTCATGTGCATTTATGTTGTCAGTCATACCAAAAACAGACAGCTATATCTATTTTTTTATAGTTAATGTCATAATACTGAGATTGTCCGCTCAGGGCGAAAAGGAAAAAAGCATAACTGAATATAAAGTTATTGCAAAGAAATTCACTGAACAGCCTTGTGCTAACAAATGTTGCTGGATCTCTTTACAATATGATAAAATGTGTCCACTATATACACAAATTGTCACAATACCTTTTTTTTCAATTTGAACTGTATTGTTATATCATTAAAAACTTAAAATATTTCGAAATATTTCGCTTTTAAAGTGTGTTATATTTTGTTAAAATACAAGCCGCTTGATATTTTAGCAATGACGTAGTTTTAAGAGCAGCATAAGAGTCCAAAAAAAGCTGAACTTAACAGACGCAGATTTAAGCAATCACCAATCGCCAATGAAACATTTTAACTGGTGAATGCCTCTATATACAGTAGACTAAGCAATAAGAAGGTTACCTAAATAAGGAGGTAACATGCACAGAAGGGTCTGTGTGGTAAATCAGTGGGTGATCTAAAATAAACATATACCCAGTTCTAAAGGCAGCTTTAATGAATCAAATCTGCTGCTTTTACTCTGTCCCAGCCATATGCTAGAAACAATGCGAAACACTCCCCACTGATCACCTTCCTCCATGATTATAAAAGGACCTGACTGACCCTCCACAAAATGAACCTCATTCCAGCCAAGCATATTGGAGCAATTACTCTTGATATGTTTATAAGATCCTTCTAGACCAAAAGGACATTTTTGGCATACAGTCCATCCTCCTTCTCTTTGAAAAATGTTTGTTTGCAACAGCGATAGAGAGAGGATTCATGAGGGTCACTGAGATTTACCACAGCTGATATACCTTAGTCGTTGTATAATTATTTGGGAAAGGGAAATGCATAAATCAGTGGTCTGTTCTGAAAGGGTTGCGGACAGTAGGGGCAAAATTATTCTAAATACAAATAAAATAACTAAACATGTCATTCAGCTAAATGAACAGGCTTAACAACTCTTAATCTCTTCCCATATCATTCACTGGCATTAAAGACTGCATTAGCGTCCAAACAATCTCTATAGTTTTTTGGCTCATATTCATCTTCCTCACTTGATAGAATCAAACTAAATTAGGCAGAATGGACATGTTGCGCAATATGCCCTCATTCTCAAAAACAGTTTACAAAAGGTAATAGAATATCCGCACTAAATACAATTCACATAAAAACAAGGATAAACATGCTGTGTGCAGTGAATTATTGGCTGTTGGGAGCAGTGAGAGAACCCAAATTCAAGAGACATTTAGAAACCTATTAAAAAAAATGTTTTAAAGTGCATTTATGCTTACTTTTTATGCTTACAATTTTAGTATTGCGATCAAGTGATGGTCCACTTGATGTGCAATTTAGGTTTTGAAGCAAAACAAGATTAGAATGAGTTATGTTTTAACAAGATAAGGGCCAAGTTTGATTGAATGCAATAGCGTGACTATGAAAGTATTTAGTTTTTCCCCACTCAGGCCCGTTTTACTTTATTGTTGCTCTTTCATTAACTAATTAATTCAGATAAAACCTTCATGTCTTTGTTGCATGATGATATAGTCCGTGGGATATAATATCATGTTGAGTAATATTTTTTTGTTATATGCACTGCATATCAGCACCAAATCTCTGCTGTTAAAAGGGAAGCACCGTGACATGACAAAGCATATCACGTCAACAAGCATCAAAACGACTCCTTTTTTCTTGATCAGGCATGTCTGTGAAAACTGAAGGGTGGTGTTTGTAATTACACGTAATGATTTTAAGGCAGGTTAGCCGATGGCCAGCGGGCTCTCAGATTCTTCATGTTTACGTGCTCCGTGAGAGAACATGCTGGATAATCGCTGTGTAGAATTCCATAGCCTAAATGTCCTGGAGGAATCATAGGAATGCCTGCGTTAAATAACATGCAAAGGGAAGCCTATACTGCAGACTGAGAATACCTAAACAGGAGACACAGAAGATGCATTTGACTTGCAGTGTCACAAATAGTTTGACTTCATAACAGTTTATTTTAGAGAGAACAACTTACACTTTGGTTGTAGAATAATTGTCCCCACATTGACATATAAACAGAAGCATTAGAACATACCAGAATCCTTCAGAGTTGATCTGTTCAGCATTAAACAAGCAGAGCTGTTGGACGCATACAGACAAGTTTCTGTACACCTCCGTCCATCTCTGTATTTTTTCTTCAAGAGCCTGGTTTCAGTGAGTAAATAAATGTGATGAGAACACTAATTTATATAATCTGATAATGTTACACTGTCTTTGGAGCTTGCTGATCTTCACCACATATCTGTGGCGGATTGGACATTTTCAAAGGTTGCTGTGCTTATATACGTTTCCTCATCACCGAACAAATTTAAAAAAGGATCTTTATTACCATCAGATACAGGGTTAACAGTGTTTGAGATCCATTTAATAGCATTTGTTGTTCATAAATCCAACCTAACCTGTTAGGTTACATGACAATAACAACACACACGCAATACATTACAGGTCAGTCCAGTTCCATTTTAATAATGTGATATTTAGCATTTTTTGCGCACACTAGTCAAATCATATTAATCATATTAATTTAAATCATATTTTTTATTTTAAGGCACATTTGACGTGCTGCACAATGGAATAAATCAAACTCATACAATAAGATAAAGTGCTACAAATATACTTTCGAACAATTCAACACAACAAAACAATTCACACTCAAAAGGCTAGGACATCAAACAGGATTTTAATATGTAATAGTACTGGAGTATCAAATGCAGAGGTATATCTATTGCCTCCTGGAAGAAACAGAGAAATCATGATCACCTTTAAACTTTAATCAGGACCGCTTTGAAGATTTATGACAGCCAGAGGTATATTGATCGAAAAAGTTGGAAATAAAAAGTGGCACCAAACCTTAGAGATTCAACGACACAAATAAACAAATTCTATAATGAACTTGTATTAGTAAAGATAGGTCAGTTTTATAAAAAGATTTTTCGTGTTATTGGTGCCAGACAGGATCCTGGCAATTTGGGCAGGTGAAATTGAGATGAATGACAGATTCTCATTTACTGTACAGCAATAATTAAATAAATTAATTTAGCTGAAGCCCTGAGGTAGAAAAGCTACATTTCACAACATAATGTTTTTGTTATACTTTAAGTTATATTGTAATAGGAATACTATTAGTTACACTGCTAAAATGTTGCCTAAATAGCTCATTAATTAACTAAATTAATTAATACATTTATATAAATATAAAAATAAATAAAAGTGCCCAATACAGAACCCTGGGGAACCCCGAAAGTGATAGAGACCAAAGTAGAAGAAAATGTTCGATCTTTAAGTAGAAAGAAAACAACTTTTGA